GAGGAGGAGGGGGAGGAGGAGGAGGAGGAGAAGAAGAAGAAGATGAAGTAGAAAAAGAAGAAGAAGAAGAAGAAGAAGAAGAAAAAGAAGAAGGAGAAGAAGGAGAAAAAGAACAAAAACAAGAACAAGAACAAGAAGAACGAAAAGTAGGTGTGTGTTTGCGCACGCGTGTGTGTGCGTGTCAGTGTGTTATGCGGGCACATGAGTGCGTGCGGGTGTGCGCGCGCGTGTGTGTGTGTGTGTGTGTGTGTGTGTGTGTAAGTGGTGTGTTAAATAGGTCACCCCAGAGACTAAGATAGTTAAATCCAACCGAACTTTAATCCAATGCCAACTACATAATGAAACTAATACTTTTGAATACCATAAGAAAGAAAATCATGGTTCCTTTATTGCCACGCCCAGCAGATAAAAATACACCAAATGACTCAATAAATCCCAAACGAGCCTAATAACAAGGATGACGGGCATATATTCACCCCAGATCCCCCTTTTTCAAAACTGAAGAGAAAAAAAAACGAATTTATATTTAACCGGATTTTGTCGAGCCGATTTAAGCAGTATTCATTCCGCCGCAGAACGCTCCATGATAACATACCGGCCACACAGGGATTAACATAAGGTCGTAGGTTCGGATCCCGTCTGGGGCCCGACGCTGTGTCCTTGGGGAAAAGCCCTTTACACGAATTTCCCTTACTTCACCAAGGTGGAAATGGGTACCCGGCTACAGACAGTGAAAGACTTTGTCAGTTTGTGTTTAAAAGCGTGAAATCTGCAGGTTGGACTGTATGCTTCCCGGGAAGCCGAGAATGTGTCTGCGTGTTCTGGGGTCTGCTGGGATAATACTGGTTGCAAAGCGCATTCAGCATGCTTTAGAGCGTGGAAACGCGCTACATAAATGCAATAAAAATTATTGTTTTTAACGTATCTGATGATGGGTTGATGAATATTTATCCCGAAGTGAACAAGCGTTCATGAATCTTCCGTCAATCAGAAAACAGTACACGGCGTTAATGAAGGAGTCCGAATGCGGAGTGTGGCGAATTTAAGCAAAGAAAAGGAAAGCGAAGAGACTTGTTTTAAGCAGAAGGAAAAAGAGGTGTGTGTGTGTGTGTGTGTGTGTGTGTGTGTGTGTGTGTGTGTGTGCG